AAGAGCAGCCTCGATCTCAGCGGTGGACAGACGGTGTCCAGAAACGTTGACGACATCGTCGACACGGCCACGGATCCAGTAGTAGCCATCGTGATCACGGCCAGCACCATCTCCAGTAAACTATATATGAGTTAGTGTCAATTCCGTAAAGCCAGGTTGCGAGGTGTCTTACGTAGTAACCCTTGTACACATTCAAGTAAGTGTCCATGTAACGCTTGTGGGCACCCCACACGGTGCGGGCCATGCTGGGCCACGGCTGCTTGAAGGCCAAAACACCCTCGACATCATTGCCAAGAATCTCCTCTCCGGAGACAGGGTCGATAATGGCAGGCTCAATACCAAAGAAGGGCAAAGAAGCACTGCCGGGCTTGGTGGGGGTGATACCGCCGAGAGGGGTGATGACATTGGAGCCAGTCTCGGTTTGCCAGTATGTCTAAAAGTCCAAAAATTAGAAGTTATTCCAAAGGGTCCAGGGGGAAGGGGAACGAACGTCGCAAATGTGAGCTTCTTCCTTGCCGACAGACTCGAAGTACCACTTCCAGACTTCCGCAGCAATGGGTTCTCCAACTGATCCAAGAATACGCAGACTGCTCATTTTGTGGTGAATGTGCTCATCACCAGCGCGCTTCAGCAGACGCAGAGCGGTGGGCGCAACGTAGAATTGTGTGACGTCGTGCTTGTCAATGACATCCCAGTAGCGGGAGAAGTTAGGGTAGGCGGGGGTACTCTCGAACACGACGGTGGCACAGCCAAGCAGAAGAGGGGCATAAACGACATAGGTGTGGCCGGTAATCCAACCGACATCGCCACCGCAGAAGTAGCGATCATCATCGTGGATATCGAACACGTACTTTCCAGTCATAGCAGCACCGAGCAGGTAGCCGGCAGTGGTGTGCATAACACCCTTGGGCTTGCCGGTTGAACCGGAAGTGTACAGCAGGAAGAGAGGGTCCTCGGAGCTGACCGGCTCAGGGGCGAGGTAGTTGGGGTACTTCTCGACCTCCTCGTGCCACCAAATGTCACGGCCATCGGTCCAGGGCACCTCGGCACCGGTGCGCTTGAACACCAGCACGGTGTGCACATCGGGGCACTGCTTCATAGCCTCGTCCACAATCTTCTTAGTGCCGATGACCTTGCCACCGCGCTTGCCCTCGTCAGTGGTAATAACGACCTTGGACGCGGCGTCCAGGACACGGTCTCGGAGGGAGTCGGAGGAGAAACCAGCGAAGACGACGGAGTGCACGGCACCAATACGCGAGCAAGCGAGGAAAGCGATCACGGCCTCGGGAATCATGGGCAAGTAGATGCCGACCGTGTCACCCTTCTTGACACCACGCTCCTTCAGCGTCCAGGCAACCCGGGACACCTCGCGCATCAACTCTCCGTAGGTGATCTTGCGGCCCTCGCTGGGCTCGTCGGCTTCATAGATAATGGCGACCTTATCTGGGTTCTTGAGGGCATGACGATCGACACAGTTGAACGATGCGTTCAACCGACCCTCGACGAACCAGGCATTGTCGCCGTTCTCGAAGGAGCCGTGGTGTGTGGTTTCAAAGTCCTTGTCAAATGTGAGGAGCTCGCGGGCCATGCGAGCCCAGAAAGTGTCGGGGCTCTTAATTGATTCCTCATAAAGTTTTTTGTACTCGTCGATGTCCTTGAGGTGAGTGCCGGTGGGGTGCTTGTCGTGGAACGCCTTGGGAACGTGGAAAGTGTCGACCTCGTGTGCTTCATGCACCTATATCACCAACTGTTAACCAATACTCCTGTGGTCACCGGAGCTACACCGGTCTGGTCATCTCAGTTAGGAGGTGACTCTTACCACTGCGGGCTTGGGAGGCTGAATGGGGCCGTCCGACATGATTGCGGAGTCCAATGGGAGGGATGAATGCAGAATGAACTATATAATATTCTGCACGAGATCGAATGTCAGAGGAAATGAATTGCGAAAGCCTCGAAATTGGGAAGAATCAAGGTGGGATGAGCTCTTTTATTAATGCAAATAGTGGGGGGGTTGGAAATGAACTCACTCTGAGAGTTGGAAGGTTATAAATTATAAATAATGATGATCAAACAGGGTATAGCAATTAGAGCAGAGAAGAAGAAAAAAAGGAGATCCAAGAGGGGATTCACGACAATATTAGTAGTTCCGGGAGGATGTGCCACTTCCCTTTTCCTTCCCTTCCATATTGGGAATGGTCCGTGCGCCCTTACAGTTCAAATACAATACCACCTGGGCACTTCTGTCTAGCCGCAGACGGCCTATAAAACTACATGTACATTTAGATCATCCACTTCGATTTCCGAATCAGGATCGAATGAGATACACTCTCAATACACTACAATTCAAGAGACTAGATTTCATCGCAACTATCACATCAGAATATGAGTTTGGGTTCGGCCATGCGGGGGTTGGATGGTCCCTTCCGTTGCTCCGGGGTAAGCTTGCCCCTCCAGGATCTTGACTAAGTTGTGTCCGCCACTTCATTGGGGGGTTTCTAGTCGGGAAGAAACGCTAGTCCAACCGACCACGGCCTAATTGTTCTCGTGTCGAACCCTTTGTCCGAGTCCAATAGGCGGGGGGTTGTAACCTTGGCTTAGCCAAGGGCCAAGGTCCGGGGATGGTCGCGGGCCAGGGGAGAGCGGGCCACAGGAAACATGCAAGTCAGTGACATTCAAAGATACAAGCGTGTCCAGTCCCGAGCTAGGCCAGACCCGCCAATGCAGGCCTTCTACTTCGTATGCCGCATTCGAATATTTGAGGAGGGCCTACGTATTCCGACTCCGTCCATACCCGTTATGCATACTCCGTATATTGTTCTCTCCCCCAGATTATTGTTCTATGTTACGGCTCCCGAGGTTACCTTCGCTCGGATATGTCATAATATGATGTTATGATGTCAAAGGATTTTCGGACCGAGTATCCTCCAGTATCCTCCCCCATATAACTTAGTTCGCCATCATGGAGGCTCATCATGAGACCAGATCGCCGACTTCGGGACTGGAGAATGTGGGGTCAAGGATGAGTAAGCTACATAATCCTTTTGCGTTGGCGCTATTGGTGCTGTTGATCTGATGATCATACCTACCTAGGTAGATAGTCATCTCAAACTTTGGCATTCTGCATAAGATACATATGGTAGTACGAAGTATACGAAGTAATCCAAGGGATAATAATTGATATTCAAATACCAAAGCCACATGGGTAGGCTCCACTGGTCACGAGGCTCTGTATTTACAATATGTTTTGATTTAGTTCCCATGTTTTTTATTATTGTCATTTTTAAATGTTAAATAGGTTTTGTACGGAGTATGCTGGATTGTATTGTGGGGAGTAAAATGATTGTGGGACAAAAAGGGGGGTACCTTGCAGCCCTGGTTTTCTTTAGTCCTAACTAGTTAACTAGTCAACTAGTACAATATGTACTTTGTACAGAGTACTTTGGACCTTTTTTCAGTTCTCGAAGTTGCATTGGTGGAAATAATTCGAAATGATCCATGAATCTGAAACATTCAAACGCTCAGAAGTTGAATCTATTTCTTAGCACGAGTTATGTAGTATCAAGCCTTCCGATGTCGTATGCATCGTACATTTGACGGCGGGATGCCCCTCTTGTTGTACGGAGTACATTACTGCGCCATGAAGATCAGTGGAATACGAAATAAACACACTGCTCTAGCCGTTAGTTGCCTTGCTAAAAAAAAAAAAAAGTCCAAGGTCCACCTTTTCCCACTCGTTTCCCAACAAAAAATAGGAGAGGTGATACAGCCGGAACCCCCAAGACCATGCACGCTACACCGGGCGATCCGACGGGGTATCAAGCTGTATTTGTACTATTTACAATAGTACGATCGTTGGATTGTAGCGGGGAAAAAAGTTCAAACTGCCCAATAAGCATAATAGAATTTTCGATAACAAAGATTATTGTGGGACAAGTCCCTCCGTACTCCGTAGAGCGTGAAAGAAGCCCGAGAAAAGGCCGTGCTAACTCCATGCTTTGCTCGACATTGCCCCAACAAAACAAACATCCAAACAAATTCCAATTATGGAGTACACACAAGGAAAAGGGGCCGGATGTACAACTTGTTGAGAGAAAGTATTTTCGCGGCAAACCTATCCCGTGCGGTCTATCCAAAACCGCACAAGCGCCAAATCCATCATGCGGCTACCCTTGTCTGTCGTTACATATACCTAGGCCAACGGCGTACTAACGCGTGGATCGCATGATTTTCAGACAGGCCTGGACGATCAAGAGGATTACCAAGTTATACACCCTTGCAAGCCAAATCCGACATTAAAGAATAGAACGCGGCTAGATCGTTGTTTCCGCATGCTTTGAGGGCTGCCTGTCTTGTTTTAATTCATTCGATCAAGGTGATTGCCGGGACGGGCCGACCTGTTTCGCCTCGGTATTCGATCGATATAGCCATCAGGTTGGTTAAATCTTCTGTTTCCAATAGTTCGAGTGATTGAACGGACCATTGGATGGAGTACTAAAGATCTGGGTTGTACCTATATAATTTATACCTACGTAGGTAGGTAGCGAACTTAGTAAGTACTAAGAAGGATCCATGGATCCCTAATACTATACGATAGCGAACGGGACGTGGAAGGAGAAGGGGATACTGAGAGCTCTCTATTTTCTTATATCTAGTTATATAGTGCACTTTGAATTTGACGCTTAGTTTGTCGTGTAAATGGGCCTGTTAATTGCCTGTTGCCTGTTCGAGTGAGTTTTGTCTTTTCCGGTTTGGTGCCCGGCGTTAACGCCCTATCATCGAACCCTAATTCTACGATGTCACTTAGCAACCAACAAACGAACTGAGTATAAATCCGTAAATCACCTATCACCTATTTGATCCCATAATGCCGAAGAATAATTTTCTCCCTCAGCTACTGCCTCGAGATAACTTATTCGGCACGAAGTATGTGAAAACTGACTCGACAAGACAGCGACGCAGAGTTTCTCTGGCCTAGTATTCAGATCCGATACAATCTTCGTCTAGTACCACAGAGCCTTGTTCCAGCAGGTACTCTTGATGTTGGCCAGGTCATCAGTCTGGGTGTACATGGTGGTGTTGAAAACCAGCTCGGTAGCATCGCTGCCGTACTTAGGCCAGTGGAGTTTATCGCTAGACCACTTCGTGTTGGGGTTTCCAGTGAGGATGAAGGAAAGGAGATACTTTTGCATCTTGCGCTGTGGAAGAATGGGTCAGTCATGGTTTTTCGTTTTCGCAAGTAAGATAAGAACACATACAGCAACAGTTGAGCTGACGGAGGAGCTACCGCTGATAGCGACACCGGCTCCAGAATCAGCACTGCCGGAGGAGCCGGAAGAGGAAAGAGAGTAAGTGCTGTACCCTGTTGTGAGTAGTACGTTAGTTAGCCTCAGTCATCCTAACTACTTAAACTATTTTACAGGGAATCTTACAGTAGTAGCTCTGGTCAGTACCATGGGTGGATTGGTCAAGAGCAACCATGGCGTTCCAAGTGTTGTTGTCAAGGGCACGGGTCAAAGCATAGTTGTGAGCAGTAAGATCGAAGGACTGTCTCATGTCCGCGAACCGGTAGCCAGGGCTAGTGTAGTCAGAGGCAGGAAACGCGTCCATGATTTCCTCAACAACATCGTCAGTGATAGCCGGGAAGAAGGCGCGAAGCTCAGCCTCTACATCCGCAGTGGTATTGACACCGGAGGTTGGTGATCCATTGTTCTCATGCTGCTCGTGGGTAATAACCAGAGGTCCGTCAAAGTTGAAGCGACCCTGGTAGAGCTGCGACTCGTAGGTGTCAGCTACAAAGTCACCGTCAACACGGGGCTGGAATTGATAGCCATAGGTATCGTAGACATCGTTCGCAGCATCGGTCAAGTTGGTGAAGGAGACCGCACGCATGCAAGTCAAGTCACCGCCAGTGCAACCGACTGCAGTGGAAACATTTTGGTAGAACATCTCACCCTGATGGTGACCGGCACCAGGGACGAAGCCAGGAGAAGTAATGTAAGCCTTGTTGAAGAGCTGCGAGTTGTGACCACCGTAGCGAGTCATCATAAACAAGGGCATACTGCCACCAGCAGAGAAACCGAAAGCCGTGATATCTTCAGGGTTACCACCGAATTCGCTGATATACTTTTTTACCCACTTGTAGGCATGCTCAACATCGTACAGTGCCACATTGTCTGTGGCGCCCTGGTGAGTGAGGGACACAGAGTTGGCAATACCGGTGATTCCAAGACGGTAGTTGAAAGACACGAAAATGAATTCCTTGGACAGGTCGAAGAGACCCTCGGGGGTGTTTTCCCGACTTAGAGCCACCTGTGAATCCACCACCATAGGTCCAAACCATGACGGGCAGCTTCTTCCCCTTGGAATTGGCCGGAGCCCACACGTCCATGTAAAGACAGTCTTCCTCTGAGGAGCAATCGACATCGGCATCCGCATAAGTGGTGCCATTGTTGATGCCAGACTCGGTAGGGGGCCATTGCGGCTTGGCGAAACGAAGGTCACCTGTAGGAACCGCGGCAAAACGAATATTCTGATATTTGTAGTAGCCGAGAGTCTCATTTCCAGCAGCAGCTTGAAGGGTGGTATAATCGAGGGTCACAGTTGGCTTGCCCGATGTGGTCGATCTGCTCGACTTGGGGATCGCGAAGGCGAGGGTAGCTGTCAGCGGCAGCAAAAGAGCGGAGAATCGCATTTTATCAAGCGCAGCTCAGGAAGAGCCTAAAGGAACGACAACAAGATTTACAGTTGATAGACAAGGAATCATCACGAAGGCCTTTGCCTCTTAAATACCAATGTTAATGATGTTAATAACGATGCCTGAGTCGGTTCGTCATGGCAGTGACGCGGCATCTCACGTTACTTTAGCCAAGAGATATTGATATTGGTAAAACAAGCTCATCCAGTCTAGCTCCAGAAATAGCCATAGTCTGAATGTGATCAACGTTTGCCAAGAGCCAAGATCTTCAGATACAGAATACGATGCTGTAGTGTGGCGCAGCAGAGATGCGTTGAGAGACTCTGTAAAATCTCAGAATGCCGATTCATCCATAAGGCCCACACCTTATCCCGGGAATCTTTGGATCTGAGTTTGAAAGTGGAATGAATATGACCTTCTGTACGATATACTATGCTGAACCTTGGAAAATGCGAAAGAAAGGATGTGGAGTCGTGACCCACTTTGGTGGGAGCGCGGTTAAATTTATAACCGGATGTGGTATTCGAAGAAGACCAAAATAACTTAGGGTTGAGATAGGTTGAGATAGCTCAAATTAGGTTACCAAGGAACTACCATGCTCATCCCAGAAGCGGATGCCAGTAAATCTTATCCAATCGCTTTCCACACTCTCTCTGCATGTTGCAGGAGGCCTGGCAACTGGAGCATCTGAAAGCGAAGTTGCAAATTTCGGAGTAAAAGTGTGTTCCTTGTGTCTCTTGTGTGCCTGATAGTATTTAAATGATAGCTGATTCATCTCAATAAAAACAACCTTGATGCCAGAGACGCAAGACAATGCTCCTATGCGGCATCATTGAAAAGTTGACACGCTTGTCATTTTCCTGTTTGTTCTTTAGTTGGTTCACACCAAGTTCAAGAAGACCTGAAGCTCGACTGTTGTGGTTGGTTTGTCTCGGTTGATACGATGGATATTACTGGCGGTATCCGTGATGGTGCCCTCGATATTGACCTTCCTCCTAAAGTCGAAAATGCTACCCTGGGCCAATTAGGATAAGTCAGGTCCCTTGCGGCACTCTAGTTAGCTTCTGAGTCTAATCTTGATCGTGTGCGATTGAATTGCTGTGGAATACCGAATTCTTTTAATATTTTCACTTATCAGATGACAATTCAGCAATTTGCTATTGTATCAACTATCCCAAAGAGCAAGCTTTCCTCTCACCAGAAGAATATGGAGAGGGCACGTCATCTGTTCAAACACGGTTTCACTGGATTATTAATCCTTGCTTCACATAGACCATACTCCATCCAGGGCGACGCTCTTGACTTCCTTCCAGCGGCTAAGAATCTTCCGAGGCTTTCAACACAACAGGGAAATCACCAGTGGGGGTGTCTCCATCAGGGGTCCAGATAAGTCCATAGACACCGGAAGTATTGGTTGACTTCGCCCAGAATTGAGCCTCAAGCTGAGTATTGTTGTTGTACACCAATTGCGAGGCAAACAGAGCAAATCCGGAAACAGTTCCGTTGACATATGCGACTCGGGTAAATGGCAAAACACCGATGGCGTTGTCCTGCTCAATGAACAACGATCCCGCAGCAGTGCCGTTCACGAAAGTTGCGTTGGCAATCCAGCATTCACCAGTGATTGAAGCAAGATCCCAGGTGAGGGGGGGTAACGTTAGCAGCGCTGTCGTCTGGGGTTTGTGTAATGTACAAGAGGCCTTGGGCATGGTATTAGTATCAGTGAAGCAGGGTAAAGATTCTTTCAGAGACAAATACCATCATCGAGTCCGTAAGCAATGGGCCATGAAGAGGCGTTCATTCCGTATGCGTAGAGTGTAGCATTTGTTTCCGCGGAACGTTTAACATGGCGAGATGGGCCTGCAAAGGCATAGCTGCAGCAAGCTTGCGCGAGGAAACAGTAGAAAATGTTGGATACGTGCATACTGCTGCCCTTGTCTGGTATTGAATTGAGAAAGAATTAGGTCGAATATGCGCACTTAAATTCCTTTACAAAATGGTAGACACGACCAGCTCTATGGACGCGTGGTAGTCAATATTTAGCAGAATATAGGAGACGGCCCACGCCAAAATCCCTCACTATTCTAGGGTTGAATCCGAGGAATCCTAGTACCAAGGTATCTCTCCTACAGCGTGTCCCACCGCGAGGGTTGCCAAATCAAGGCAAGATCTCTCAAACTTTGTTCCCCGAAGGTACATCCCGCAAGGCTGACAGGCCAGACGGGCCTACTTTCTGAAAGTCTCTTGGAGCCCACATTCAACGGAAAACTTGCTTTGTATAGCTGACGATGGCCCGGATCCACTTTGGCCGTGAGCTGAGATGGACTTGTACCTGACTGTCCGCGCAACTCCTGTCACTTTTTGTTCAATAATTCCTATTGAGCGAGCTGGATTGAAAAGAATTCTCAGCCTAATACCTCGAGCTTTATGCCAGAGAATATGCGGAGAAAGAGATTTTTTTTTGAAAATGTTAAGTGAGGACCCATTCAAAAGGCAAGTTTACAAAAATATGCTTAAAGGTCCCTCCTGTACCGTCGATAAGGCCGAATCAATCAACCCTAAAACCCAAAATAACCCTGGGAAGTCTCCACTTGACGCGCAATGTAAACAAGAATATTGGCAGCGGGGATGCTACTCTATAATCTACATACTCTGTACCATTTTCCGCTGAATGATCGTCGCCTTCCGAGGCTCCGCTGACGACGCAAACTTCGTGGATCTGACATTTTCCACCACAGCAAAAGACCAGAGAAACACGGCTCGATATCAAATATTGAGTCCTAGGTCTCTGCTATTGCGTTAACTGTTCGCGCTAGATGCTGTTAAGGAAAGTCATCCCGTTCATTCCCGCCTTGGGTTCGTTTTAGGGTATCCTTGGTAGAGCATATTGGGAAGGACATTGGGCAGATCGTGATAACCTAGACCATTTGGTTCTGCATTATCATACGTACACATTGAGGTAGCAAGGATACTGATGCACAGAAACTATATCTCTAGCAGTTTTAATTTTATAGATCATTTCCCTCAGGGGTCGAACATCACAAGTGAGCTAGATCATCAATTCTGAGTCTGGTTCTTCCTCGAAGCTGGTTTAAAACCGCCTTCTCTCTTTGCATCCAGGTATCTTCAGATTGGAGTTTCTTATCCTATTGCCTGTTTTCACACTCCTTCGGGTGTACTCAGCAGCATGCTTCTAGGAGGCCTATTCATTTCTTCTCTTCTCTCGTTGTGCACTGCTCTAGGTGCAAACCAACCAGTGAAGTCGACGAGGGACACATCGTGTGTGAACAGCGCATCTGATCGATCATGCTGGAAAGATGGATATGATATATCAACCAACTACTACGATGAGGTTCCTGATACTGGTGTGGTCCGGGAATATTGGCTCAATGTCGAAAACACCACTGCTGCGCCGGATGGTGTTGAGATGCCTGTACAACTGATCAATGGATCTTTCCCTGGACCTACCATCATTGCTGACTGGGGTGATACTGTTGGTACATAAGCCCGTCCCAAGAACACTCAAGCCCGCATACTAATTCCTTGATATTAAGTTGTTCACTTCACCAATTCACTCCAAAACAATGGCAGTGGTCTTCACTTCCATGGGATCCGTCAAAACTGGACCGATGGTATGGATGGTGTTCCAAGTATCACACAATGCCCAATTGCTCCGGGTGACTCCATGACTTACCGCTGGCGTGCTGTCGAATACGGTACTGGTTGGTACCATTCACACTTCTACGTCCAGGCATGGGACGGAGCATTTGGTGGTATTTTGATTAATGGCCCTGCTACTGCCAACTACGATGTTGATCTTGGACACGTCTTTTTAAACGATTGGTATCACGTATGTAATGCTTTCGTTGAACACTTATCGGAAAGATCTGGTGAACACTGACCCTTATACCTAGCAAACGGCAGATCAATTGGTCAGTCAAGCCGCTACTGGTGGACCACCCACGGCACCCAATGGGCTGATTAATGGAACAAATACCTACGGGACAAATGGATCACGGTTCGAGACTTCATTCGAACCAACGGTCAGATACCGCCTGAGACTTGTCAATGCAGCGGCAGACCAACACTTCCGCTTCATGATTGACAACCACCACCTTGAGGTCATTGCAACTGACTTTGTTCCAATCCACCCTTACAATACCACTCAGCTTAGTATTGGTATGGGGCAGCGATACGATGTTATTGTCACAGCGAAAAACCTTGCAAGCGGCAACTTCTGGTTACGTGCTATTCCCCAAGAAGCCTGTTCCGAGACCGATGCGGTTGATAATGTCAAGGGAATCATTCGCTACAATAGCACATCCACCACAGATCCCACTACCTCCGCCTATAGCTACACAGACTCTTGTGCGGATGAAGCTTCTTCTGATCTCATCCCCTACCTGGCAATCAACGTCTCGGAAACCTACACATACGATACATCAGAAAAGGTTGCCGTCGAGGTCACTGACAATGCCTTGCTCTGGACCATGAACAAGACTTCTTTCCGTACCCAATGGGAGTACCCCACCCTACTTCAGGTTGCAGAGGGCAACAATACATGGACCCAGAAGCAGCGTGTCATCCATCTTCCAGAGGCTGATAAGTGGGCCTACATGGTCATTCACTCTCCGTTCGCCCAAGACCACCCGATGCATCTCCACGGTCACGATTTCTGGGTCTTGGGCTCCGGGTATGGCGAGTTTGACTCTTCAAACCCTGACTCTCTCACGCTGGTGAATGCGCCCCGACGTGATGTTGCAATGATGCCAGCTAGTGGCTACTTGGTCATTGCAATCAAGACCAATAACCCTGGTGTAAGAATTCAATGGATAAATTTTCTGAATCAACTCTGCTAACCCCATTCTTTAATAGGCCTGGCTTATGCACTGCCACATCGCCTGGCACACGTCTGAGGGCTTTGCCGTCCAAATTCTCGAGCGCCAATCGGAAATCAAGTCTGACTATGCTCAGCTAAACTCTACCTGTTCAAAGTGGTCGGAATATGTGCACAGCGATGATCTGACCCAGTATGATTCTGGTGTCTAGATTTGATATTACATGTAATATTCTCTTTATGTTTACCTGAGAGGCGATGTTCGATGGTGGTGATTACCTGGCGAGTCCTCCGGCACTATCTATTCGCAGAGCTGACATGACCCATCTTCAACAAGTCTTCAATACATGTAACCTTCCAGGTACTATATAGATCCTATATCTACCAAAGGGACTGTTTTTTTGTTTCGTAATATGTTCCTTTCTGGAAAATACAAATTGGGTTGACGAGCATAAAATCTTAGCTTTGGATCTGAGATATTTATCTAAATCAAATTACGAGTAAAATGATATATCTGACATAGTAAGCTTTGCCTGTCCCGGGTTGGTGCAATGCATTATCGCGTAACTTCCCCTGTTTGGCGTCAATCCCGGCGTTAACGTCCTATCACCGAACCCCAATTCTACGTCACTGAGCAACAAATAGGCGAACTAAGTATAAGAATGCTAGGGCCCCGATGGTAGTCCCTTTGAAAATTCTCAATTAGATATCCCTAACTTTTCATCCTCATAAAAAAAAAGTTAAATGAACAGAAGACCTCGGGGCGAATCACGTTTCTTCGCAAACTAGCATCATCCCTAACATCCGACATAATGGGGGACCTCGAAAGTCAGTTCGCACTTCCTCTCCAAAGCAAGCTAGCGATAGTCACGGGGTCATCGCGTGGTATCGGTGCCGGCATTGCATGGGAGCTTGCCCGCCGTGGTGCGAATGTAAGGAATAATTTGCTATAATGCAGTCATTCTTTGGTAAAATTGGGAAAAGGAGAGAACTCAAAGGCTAACGAGAGTCAGGTGTGTATCACCTACGTCTCAGACAACAGTAAATTGCTCGCCGAGGAGCTTAGGGCTAAGATCAGTCAACTCCCTCACAAACCGATCACATGGGCCTGCCAGGCCGACCTGTCCACGACCACGGGCGCCCAGGAGGTCATTACGCACCTCAAGGCCTACTTTGGCAGCGAAGACCTTCAAATCCACATTTTGGTGAATAATGCCGCCACAGAGACGGTGAACACTATGCGGAGCGTTACGCTTGAGGATTACGATAAGGTTTTCAACCTGAACGTGCGTGGTTCTATGCTCATGACGCAGGCTGTGGTTCCGTACCTGGCACCCAAGGGCCGTATTATCAACTTAAGCTCCGTGGGAGCGCGTGCCGGCTTCAAAGGCGTCAGTCTTTACAGCGCTTCCAAGGCCGCTATCGAAAGCTTCACGCGCTCCTGGGCCAGCGAGCTGGGCGGGGATGGCACGACGGTCAATGCTGTGGCGCCAGGGCCTGTGCCTAGCGATATGTTGGACAACATTCCTAAGGAAATTGTCGACATGCAGAAGGCGACAACGCCTGTCGAGCAGCGACTTGGTACAACGGAGGAGATTGCGAGAATTGTGGGATGGTTGGCTGGACCCGATGCCTCATGGGTATCAGGACAGGTTATCTGTGCAAGTGGTGGCTGGTCAATGTATTAGGTTATATAGGAGATACAAAACTTATAACCAGTTACTACTTATCTCTCTATATCACGTCTAAAAACGTATATAAAAACGCGTTTTATTTCGAATCTTTTAAAGTTCCGTGGGTTTACTAGAAAGTAATAATAACGTCACAACATTAACTTTTATATTTTCTGCGATATTTCGACCCTTACTGGTCGGATTTTATTTGAAATTTAAATATATACTTATATAGCTACTATAAATCTAGATCCTAAATTTGAACTTTATACGACCGCTGGAAGGTCGTAATACAGTGATTATAGAGGCCGATCAAGATAGGCTTTGGGCCTGGGGTCTGGGCCCATTTGTGGGCCTTGCAAAGGTCTACACTGAAGTAAGGGATATGGCAAACCTCCAACCGCAAGTGCGCCATGACATTTTCCCATGGTAAATTTTGACCGCCAGTTTTTCATCATCTTATTAACCTCATGCATGTTGAGCAATGAGAGGATCATTCTAGGGTTTATAGTGGTGTGGTTGCAACTACGCACTAGCCATGCAGTGAGTCCACAGAAGTACTGATATTATGGAAACCAGTGTTTAAAAATTCCCTTGAACAAAGCTTCCACAAGTGCTCCATCTGCGTGCATATTTGACATGTTGCATTTCCAACCTCTTGTAGGGTTAGTAGGGTTAGTAGGTGTGGGGAAGAGATTTAGGGTTCCCAGATGTTGCGGGAAGGCGCCCCCGCGATGAGCCGTTGACCATGGAACCAATAGCCGTGAGGGTTTTCTAATATCATCTGACAATTATTCGACTCTCTAGCCAAAATACCCGATTAGAAAATTCGATCATTGCTCCCACTGTATCCACACCTGTTGCGAGAAGGCGCTGCCAGTGAGTAATCTTAGAGACGACCTTAAGAAGACGATTTTTAACCCAATAAAGCCCTTTCATATTCCAAACCTTCACATTCCGCGGTCTGCTTGAAATAACATAGGTTCTGTCAGAAGACCAACTGTTTGGCCAGTGTCATTTTATTCGCAAAATGTACGGCACAAAAGGCGCAACACGCGCCCTTCGTTCCAATGCCCGGCGATTCTCTACCGCCACCCGACTACATGCACCATCGGGTCTCAAGATCAATTCGGAGCGCTTATGGAACACGTTACATGAAACTTGTGAATGGGGTGCTGAGCATCGCTATGGCGAGTATGTATCAATTTCGTACACAGTTATTGAAAACAATCTAACGCTATGACAGGAACCCAACAGATACAGGGATGGCTCGTCTGACTCTCAGTGACGATGATGCCCATGTTCGTCGGTGGTTCGCCGCCGAAGTCCAGAAGCTGGGCTGCTCTCTTTCTGTAGACCAGATGGGAAATATGTTTGCGCGGCAATCAGGCCGGTTGAACTCGGCTGCTCCGATGATCGCAATGGGAAGCCATCTCGATACTCAACCTCGGGGTGGTCGGTATGATGGTATTCTCGGTGTCATGGCTGCACTGGAGATCCTTCGGACGATGAAGGAAAGTGGATTCCAGACTAACTTTGATGTCGGAGTGGTCAACTGGACCAAGTAAGCATCAGAATTTGTTTTATCATGTCATTTAGGATTGTTACTAACAAAGAATCTACAGCGAGGAAGGTGCCCGATTCCCTAAATCAATGTGTTCCTCGGGTGTCTGGGCAGGGGCCATCCCAATCCAAAAAGCTTGGGACCTGCGCGATATTCACGATCCCAGCGTGACGCTCCGATCCGAGCTTGAAAGACACGGGTATCTGGGCGACATTGCTTGTTCCAGCGATCCAGCAACTGGATACCCCCTTGGAGCCCATTTCGAGCTGCACATTGAACAGGGCCCAATTCTCCCAGAAAATAACCGATCAATTGGTATCGTTCGGGGTGCCCAGGGATACAGATGGTTGACTATGACCGTCCACGGGAAAGATGCCCACACTGGAACAACACCTTTTAGCGCGCGTCAGGATCCATTGCTCGCATCATCTAGAATGATTGCCGCTTCACATGATATTGCTAAGCGACACGATGCGCTGGCCTCGACTGGTATTATTAGAGTTCCATCGAACGCGTCTACAAACACTGTCTCATCGCAAGTGACTTTCACTCTTGATATCCGACACCCACAGGATAGTGTGGTACACGCTGTGCAGGACGAATGTCTCAAGGCGTTTGATGCTATTGCATCGCAAGATGGTAAGGGTGTGTCCTTTGACTGGACGTTGGATACAGACTCGCCAGCTGTCGAGTTTGATGACAACTGCGTGGCGTCTATCCAGGCTGCGGCGGATCAGCTGGTTGGCCGTGAGAAATCGATGCTCATGACTAGTGGCGCGGGCCATGATACTGTTTATACTAGCAAGCACTGCCCCTCTGCGATGATCTTTGTCCCTTGCCGGGATGGTGTGAGCCACCATCCGACTGAATATTGCAGTCCACAGGATTGGTAAGTCCCCTCTCGTTTCTTTGGAGATTTTCTCAGAACCTGACAGTCACAGTGCACTGGGTACGCAAGCTCTTCTCGAGGCTGTTGTCCACTACGATCAATTCAGGCTAGAGGCTGAAGGGCAAAAGTAATCGGCATTTTTAGTTGTAACAGAAAGGCGTTAAATCAGACCTAGATTTGAATATATTATTTGATAATATAGATTTTCAGACAAAAACAAAGCCTTTCAAGCATGTGGAAATAAGAAACCTCAAATCTGCCTGTTGTACATTTCTACCAAACTGTATACCAGAGCTAGTGCCAAACATAAGAGTGATAATCCTGTCCAATGGAACGCACAGAATAGAAAAATTTGAAACATTTTACTAAATTCCACCAATTTGTTGCAGTTGTTGTGAGAAGGCGGAGTCTCCACTCGATCCGACATGTCGTCAGAAGGCGCGATGTCTTTAGAAGGCACAACTTATCAGGTGTGGAACGACATTAAATAAAGTACGTGCATTGCGCACTGATAAATTATATGCGAACGCACACCAACATGTCATCACGAAGATCGATCTACTTCAACCCCGCGGCAGCAAATGAGCGCATTGCCTCCCCGCAAATCGAAGGCCTAACAGCATTCCACCAATCCTTCCCCAACTATGCCCCAACTCCACTAGTCCAACTTCCAGAACTCGCAACTGAACTAGGTGTTGGTCACGTTCTCGTGAAAGACGAGAGCAACCGGTTCGGCCTACCATCATTCAAAGTTTTGGGCGCATCATGGGGTTGTTTCCGAGCAATCGCCGGGCAACTCGGCCTACCCTCTACAGTCTCGCTCGATGAACTCTCAAGCCGAGCAAAAGAAGCATCGATTGTCCTGACAACAGCCTCGATGGGAAACCATGGACGGGCAGTTGCGTTCATGGCTCGACTCCTTGGTATCGAAGCGCGGATCTTCGTTCCTCGGTCTTTGAACCAGTGGACTCGGGATCTTATCGCCGGGGAAGGGGCTCGGTTGGTTATTGTTCAGGGTGACTATGATCAGGCTGTGCAGCAGGCTGTGGATGAGACACGTGTGGGACAGGGTGTACTTCTCATTCA